AAATAATTCATATGTTTTAAATTACATGGCACCTGAGTAGAAGGATGAAACCTTGCGTCTCAGTCCCCATCCCTACCATCCCTTTATGCAATGTATACACACTGTATGTACTACCCACCCATTAGTCACTTAGTAAATTATCTTGGTTATTGGGAAGACTGGGGTACCATCCAGGTTACCCCTATTTTACTTAATAGCTCAAAGCACAAGAGCAGTGATGCTGTCTATTGTATTGCAGCACAATGTTATCATTAATCTATTTTATTTTAGTTATTATTGTTAATCTCTTACTGTGCTTAATTTAGAATTTTAACTATATCATAGGTATGCATGAATAGGAGAAGACATAGTACACAGAGGGTTCGGTACTATCTGGGGTTTCAGATATCCATAGGGGTCTTGGAACACATCCTTTTTGCATAAGGGGGGACCATTGTAATAATATCTAACAACCAGTTAGAACAAGTGGCACAGACCAAAGTGGACAGTCAGGCCTGGGAGTGGTAGAAAAGTGGGGAAGGTACTTGGCAGGCTGTGCCCTACAGTGCTGCCCTGGGTAACTTTTACATTATATATATATAACTAGATATGTTACCCATATGGGCTAGGGGCCATTAACATCCATATTTTTCTGATCTTGAAACTGAGGCACAGTTTGGATAACATCCTGAGGTCTCAGAGCTAGCAAGTCCAGGAGCTAGAGCACAGCACAGGGTTGTTTGGCTCCAAAGCCTGAGTTCTGTCTGTACAGCAATACTCAGACCAAGGCTGGGGGTTCTCCCATCACCTAAAGCCTCCCTTCTTATTGCACACCCTGAGTCCAGATTTCCTGAAAGTACACAGAACACTGCATCATCCTCAAACAACACACACACACACGTATGGTGCATGCACACATGCACACTCTAACCTAGCAGAGACCTGGAAAAGCAGGAAGATGGGTGATTCCACTAGTACACCAAGCACACTATGTATTTACAGTCCCAATTATAGCTTTCATCTCCCGCCACAGTGAAGGAGCAAGAGCAAGAAGAAGAACAGTTGTGTGCACTGGGGTCTGAGGCTCCATGGCAATAACTACAAGATTACAGAGATGTTAGCAAACCCAGTGACGGCAGCTTCTATTATAATGATAAATCTACAGCTTTATATAGAAATAATGAGGCTGGGGGTAGGAGCGAGGGGGAGGGAAGAGCAGGGTGGTTTTAGCTAACTGGAGCTCTGGTTGGAGAGGCAGTGGCACACCCACAAATGCCCGGGCTACCAACAGGGACCTTAGTCACACCAGGCAGGGAGGAAGGCAGCAGCCTCAGGGTGGCCCTGTCCAGGGCTGCAATGGATACCATGAACTCCCTCCATTTCCTTTCCACAGTGAGCTGCTGAAGTCAGTGGAACCCAAGGCCTCTTGCTGCCTGGCTGATCCTGTCAGCCCGCTTCTCCCCATCTCGCTGGTGCTATGTATTAGCTGGAGGCCAGGGTCCCTTGTGGCTTCAGATTTGCAATTAACAAAGAGCTAGACTCCCTGATGTGTACTTCCTGTCACTAGCCTCAAGTTCAATGCTCAGTGGCTGGGAGAAATCAAGACAAATGCTCAGCCGTTGCTACTTCAAAACAACTGGAGCACCGGGGCAGAAACCGGCCTGGTTCCACGTGGTGGGGTTGAGTTTAACTCTCCCACACACTTCAAGCCACCAGGGCAGCCTTCAGGGTCCCCATTCTCATAGTGCCTCTCCCTTCGACCATCCTGGGAGGCACTTGACCCCCTGCTGGTCCAGACTACTTGGTCTGATTGGTTAGTCCCTCTGCCATCCCAGAACAATCTGTCTACTTGAGGCATACCTCTGATTGGATGCATAGGCTGGGACCCTCCCCACCAAGCTTAGCTCTAGCAATTATCAAAAGTCTACTAGAGCCTCTCCTCCAGGAAGCCTTCTCAGGTTAACCCCAGCTGTTTCTGAATGACAGTGGATCATTTTAATTGGATGAAGTGAGCCATCAGTCATTCAGTGCTGGGTAGGTTCTTACACCCAGTCTGGAGGGAATACAGAAAAAAGTCAACTGTGGGGCACATCCATTCCTGAATCCTCCACTGGGAGACTTTCAAAGACAGAATATGATGGGAGGTTCTGAGGGGCAGAAAGGTCACATGCAGAAGGGTTTCTGGGAAGCTTTGAAAGATCAATGTGTTTGAGCTAGGCACAGAGCCGTGGAACAGATCTGACTAATAGAGCCTATTAGACAAAAGGCAAGAGACAGCGATGGTGGCTGTATTAGGGACTATCTGCCCAGCTGGGGCAGTGGAGCTGCCATTCTAAGCTTAAGTCCAAGTGCAGCTCTGAGGACAAAATAGGCACACAGGAAAGGTGGAGCTGGCTGCATTCATCTGTCACCCACCATACTGGCTTCAGGATTTCATACACACCGAGTGCTCAGTCATTCCTGGTGACTGTGACTGGGATCTCTCTGGTCCCAAAATAATTAAATTTTCACAGCCAGCACCATGAAACAGGTAAAAGCACCAGCCTGTCTGCCTCCCTTCCCCGCCTCCTGAGTCCAGGGCCCGAGCCTGCTCCTGTGGTCTGTGCTCCATAGGTTCCAGGGGACTCACCTGAGAAGGAGCCCAGCTCAGACAGACTGCAAGCAGGACAGGTATGTAAGCGTGATTCCCCAGCTCAGCAGCTTCTGAAACACCAGGGCCTGGACTTTCTCTGCTCCTGGCTGGAATGCATCTCCTTCCTCTTGGCCTATCAGGTCATTTATACCTGTTCTCCCCACCTGTTTCATCCCTCCTCATCCAGAAGAGCGTCCCCTGGCTGTCCTCACTCCCAGGGCTGTTGGAACGGCACACATTGAACAGTATTTGCTGGCTTGCTTTGCCAGCAACCCCATGGACATGACCTGTCTCTGTAACTAGATTATAATTTCCCCAGTCTCCTGACCCAGTCCTCCCTCCCCCACCCCGGCAGCAGTGTTCTTAGGAAAGGGAGGGGGAAGGGCAGGGATCTGACACTGACACTGACCACAGAGGATCTGCCTTTCTCTGAAGCTGGACTGGGAAAATAGTGATGGGACTAGGATGGGGACGGTCACAGAGTTCCAGGATATGGGAAGTCACATCCAGGTGAGGGGCAGGCTTGGGCACAGACTGTCTACTCCAGGATGAGACTTGCACTCCTACCTGAGGTTGAGGGCACAGGACACGTGGGTGGGGACTTTGGTGAGGGACAGAGGAGGCACCCAGAAGGGCTGAGCAGAGGGTTGCCCCTGGCCCTTACCACCCCATGGCCATGGTCTCATGAACCGATTTTCTCCACCTGTTACAGCCATTGAAATAAAGACACTGCCGTGGGTGACCATGGGAAGAGCTGCACCAGATGTAAACTTCAGAGTGATTTATGTTACAGAGCTCCTGGGCCCAGGCTGGCACACAGCTGCTGTTGGGTCCGCCCCGTCTGCCCGCCCCGTCTGTCTGCTGGTCGTGCCGGCTGCTCACGCTGTTCCTGTTTATGATATTTCAAGAAAGCAAAGACTCGGAAGACACCAGGACATGGGACTGCATTGGCTATGAGAATGGAGGCTCTCGGGGGCCCTTCCTGGGACAGAAGTGGAACCTACCAAGTGTTCTGTCAGAACAAATAGAGATTCACACATTTTACCATCCAGAAAGGGGCTGGTTTTTCCAGCCTCACTCCTCACAAATTCAACACAGTGATATTGAGTATGGACTGCCCAAAGGCAGGGTCTGCAGAAAGAATGGGGTCACCCCTCTGCCACAGGTATGGCTCAAGAAATATCCAGGGAGGTACAGCACCCAAGACACGAGATCCAAGGTCGTTGGAGCTTGGTTGAATGCCACCATGGGGCACTTGCCACTCAGGTACGCTCAGAGGGGCACACACTAGCTATACCTACAGGATGCATTAAACAGCCTTGTGGGTCCAGGACACCGGAGCATGGCGTCCACACCAACCAGAAGCTCTGGGTATGCTCTCTCTAGGTCTCTGTTGTCTTAAAAAAGCCAACTTGAACCTCGGCTCCTTGAAACCTTCCCTGGCTAATCCCAGGTGGTAATGAACAGTCAGTATCTGTCCCCATGTGTGGATTAGCTGACCTCCCCAATCTCCCAGAATGCAATGTTAGGGCAATGGCCAAGACCAGCAACTCTGCTACGTGTAGCCACCCTGTAGTTCACTGCAGTTACAGCTTTCCTTCTGGATGTATGGTAGGATTTCTTTCCCCTGCCTCAACAGTATTAAGAGTTGCCATGTGTCTTGTTTTGGCTAGTGAACTGTCAGTGCAAGTGACATGTGTCACCTCTGCATGGAGGCATTAGGGAATAGTGCGTGATTTGACATAGCCTCTCCCTCCTGATGTCTAACTGTGGAAGCACATGTCAAGATGGAGTGTCTTTTGGCTTGGGTCTCTGGGTAACAAAATAGAGCAGAACCCTGGCCAATCTGTAAAACACATGTAACACGAATGAGAAATAAACCTTGGTTTATTTCCCATAAATCCTGGGAATCCTGGGATTGCTTGTTGCTGCAGCATAACCTGGCTCATCCTGACTGATGTAGCTCATTCTTGATTGTTTGTTACAAACTTCTAAAACACATCAACGCCCACTGGAACCTGCAGTCCTGTACGGTCTATGGGTCTGGCCCAATCCTTACCCTTGATCAAAGGGACATAAAACATAATTTTCTATATAGAAAACCTGAGGCCTAGCAGGTAGAGAAAACCATCCCAGAACGCACGATCAGATGAAAAGATAAAAATTACCTTCCCACCTGCGGGGGAGTGGGTGGGGGGAGGGACCCTCTTTATCCTCACCCCATTTAGGTAGAAGCAAGGACTTCCCCAGAGTGACTTGGGCCATTGGGCAGTTTCCAGAGTCTCCCTTCTCATCCTGAAGGGCGGAGGCCCATGTGTCTCTAGGGGAGCAAGGGGCTGGGGACATGTCCACCCAACCCAGAACTGCAAAGCGACAGAGCTGTACTCACACTTGTGGCGTACTGGATGTCCTTCCAGATGGAGGTCTCCCGGGACAGATCAGAGGCCTCAAAGAGATTTTCCAGGATGACCTCCCCGATCATGTCATGGCGGGAGAAGCGATCAAAGTCAAAGACGCTGAGATGCAGTTTGCGGTCAGCCAGCTCCTCGTAGGGCACAGGGAAGTGGAAGTCCTCATCGAAGGTGGGGTTCAAGGTCTTGCGGTGCACGCGTGTCTGCAACTTGCATTTGCGGTCAGGCAGGAGGTAGATCTTGACGTAAGGGTCAGAACTTCCGCAAAAGTCCTTGGCAGGGAGGTCAAAGGCCTTCAGGATGCGCACGATCAGGGTCTCGCTCTCGTAGTCATAGCGTAGGCTGAAGTTGATCTTCCCGCAGCTCTTGGCGGCCTCAGACTTGGCCTCGTCCCCATCCACTGACTTCTGCTTGTAGAGCTCAGGCTTGATGCGGCCGATGCTGGTGGGCTGCTCTGCGGCTGGCGGCAGCTCATTGCCATAGTCTACGCTGGAGACGTGCATCTGCCGGGGCAGGTGGCGCTTGAAGGACGTGTGCCTGGCAGAGGGCAGGAGCAGACAGGAAGAGTGTGTCAGGGCTCAGGGGTCGGGAGATGCAGGCAGACCCAACCCTGGTGGCTCATCCGACCCCTTTTCTTCTAACTTCTCTGCACACACTTTGTGCACAGGTGGTTGTGAGTATTGTGTGTTTTAATATATGTAAAGTAGCTGGAATGGTGCCTGGTGTGTAGCAGGCTCAGTAAGTGTTAGCCATTGTTACCCTGATCGTTGTAACTGCTATTCTGTCATCTGCTTTCTAGGTTTCTTTCCTAGTAGGCAGGACTCTAGTTTTGCCAATAAAGCCTAGTCTCTTTAGGAAGGCCATCCTTTCTTCCCCTCCATGAAGACTCCCTTCACCCTCTCTCCTCCTATCATCACCATTTTTTGAGTATTTGCCATACAGCACATAGATTGCCTAGGTTAATTTTGTCTCTGCCACTTTGGACTAGCTATTTAACTTCTTCTCTGTGCTATAAAAATAAGGATAATAGGCCGGGAGGCAGGACACAGTGGGCCATCCCTGTACATTGGAGGTGGAAATAGGAGGATGGTGGCTTGAGGCCAGGCAAAAAAGTTAAGGAGAACCTATTTCAAAGAACAAGCTGGGCGTGGTGGTGTATGCTTATAATGCCAGCTATGTGGGGGAATCAAGGCTGGCCCTTGCAAAAAAGCATGAGATCCTTCTTGAAAAATAACTAAAAGCAGCAAGGTGCTGGTGGCTTATGCCTATAATCCCATCTACTCAGGCAAATAATTCATGAGACCCTATCTTGAAAAAAAAAAATCACAAGAAAAATGGCTGATGGAGTGGCTCAAGCGGTAAGAGCACCTGGCTAGCAAGTGTGAGGCCCTGAGTTCAAACCCTAGCACTGAAAAAAAAAAAAAAGCAAAAAGGGCTGGGGGTGTGATTATGGTAGACTACCTGTCTAGCAATAGAATTGTTGTAAGGGTGAATAAATGATTACATATAAAGTGCTTAGAAGAGGGCCAGGTGAATGATAAACAATATATGTGTCAGGTCTCATTATCCCGCAGATTCTTTCATTGGCTCCTCATAACCACCTATGTGAGTCATTCGCCCTATTTTACAGCTGGGCAAAGCGAAGCTTAGAAGGAGAGCAATCTGCCCAAGGCCATAAGATAAGCACTTGCACTCCTGGCTCAGTCTGAAGCACAGGCCTCCTCTCCTTTGGTTGGGGGACGACTGCAGGGATCCAGAATGTGTGTGTGTGTGTTACTGGGGTTTGAACTCAGGGCCTCACACTTGCTAGGTAGGTGCTCTACCACTTGGGCCACATCCCCAGCCCCTTTTTTGCTGTCATTATTTTTGGGATAGTATCTTGAATTTTTGCCTGATAGATCTTCCTATCTATGCTTTCCAAATAGCTGGGATTACAGTCTTAAACCACTGAGCCCCACCTATGAAAGCAGTTATTTTTTTTTCTGTTTGAACTCAAGACTCTATGCTTGCTAGGCAGGTGCTCTAGCACTTGGGCCACTCTCCCAGCCCTAAAAGCCCTGAGTTCTGAGCAAACACAATGGCTTGGACATGCATGCGCCACATCTTCTAAAAATGTTTCTGACTTTAGAGTAGGCTTTTGTTACTGTGTGCTTGTTCTCAGTGTTGTTTTGAATTAAAGGATGGCCTGTATGCAAATGTCATCATGCAGAAAGTCAAAGGACATGTGCTATTATTTCTGACCCCTGATCCTCAGAGCCTGGAATCTTGCTAATGCCCTTGCTTGGAATAAGCAAGTGTGGATGTGCCAGGGTTAGGAAGCAGGGTACACCTCTCACCTGGTGGATGACGCTGGCTCTGTGGTCTGTCGCTGCAGCCGTGTGTGACGCATGATGTGCTCCTTGACTGACATCTGCACCTCAGCCGGGATATCTGGGGATGTGTGGCTGATCTTCACGGCTGCCTCCAGGAAACCCAGGGAGCTGGGGTCCTTCAGCTTGTCTGCCATGTTGCCTCTGGAGTTGGGGTTCTGGAGGGCCTCCAAGGGGGGGTTAGCAGGAGAGGGACTGGAGGCCTCCTTGTTCCTCCAGGGCATCCAGCACAGCTTCCAAAAGAGAAAGAGAAAAACTGCCACCAGGGCCACGCCACAGACAATAACTACCACGGCGAGGAGGCTGACAGAGGTGCCTGCCCTCAGCATGAGCCAAGCAGGGAGGGACAGAGACAGACAGAGGCAGGAGAAGCGGGTGAGGGTGTTGGAAGAGGGACACACAGAAGGGACAAAGACGGAAGAAGAGAAAAGAATGGTCATGAGAAAAGCTGCCCATCAGAGGGAGAGATGGCTTCAGGGTTGACGCTCGATTGTCCATTTTGTGAACGGTGATCACCTGGGTTTGATTTCTCCAACATCACCCCTGCCTCTACCCTCCACCCACCGGCTTGGGGAGCAGAGCACCGGGGCTGCCTCCCCTACTGCCTACTGGCAGGTACAGGCAGTGGGGAGGGGGAGGTTAAATGATAGCCTAAGCAAACTTGCAAATTTGTGAAGCATTCATGTTCGGATGCTGTTTGAATTTCTGTTAGGGCTGTTACTACAGCCAGAATCATAACTGTGATTTTTGTATATAGCTCTCTTCCTCCATAGAAGGCTGGGAGGCCCTGAGGGGCTGAGGCTGGCTAACTCACCCTCTTCTCTACCTTGTCCCACACCCATCTGGCCCAAGGCAGGAGCTCAGTAAACGTGGAGCTGAGTGTAGGGAAATGGGTCAAGCCTCATCTTGAAGTTTTGGCTTCTCTGTACTCCTAGGCTTTGAGCATGGCAGTCTCAATGGATATGTGTATTAAGTTAGAATCTTGATCCACATGTCAAGGCTAACTACAAAGTACAAATGGCTCCCATAGCTGCTGTCTTCATTGCTGTGACTATTTGAGAGCTTTGTTGTAAAACTGGTACTTGGGAGCTCTGAGGTTGTGTCGGAGATGGGTACTCACTGTCCCATGCCCAGTCCCTGCTGACCTAGGTGGGTGCCCATCATCCCAGGAGGGCTGTGTGGGAGGCCTCCCTTTGTGAGAGATTGTTAAGTAGACCTCCCCTTGTGAGAGATTGTTAAGTAGACCTCCCACTCCAGTCCCCTCACCAAATCTGGGGATGAACCTTTGAGCCCATGGCCTCTTCTTGCTCAGAGCAGATAAGTCAGAAGGCTCTGAACCAATGGGTTTGCAACATGATCCCTTGTGGACAAGCCAGCAGAGGAGTTGGGTTTGGCTTACATTTGAGAAACTTCAAAGTTACATAATAGTCACCATCCCAGACTTCCAGCCTTTCTGAAAAAGGCCGATGGTGTTAACTGGATTTATGTCCATGGGGCATGCGGTGGGAACTGGCGACTCCCTGTGTGGGTTGTGTCCTCCCCAGTCAACCTCCCCTCCCTGTTCCCTGCTTGGCTTGTGAGCTTGGATTAGCCTGCCCAGTGCCTTATGAATCTTAGGACATAAGGTAAGCAATGACCACCCCTCCCCTAAGTACCAAGGCCAAGCTGTGCTTTTCTGATAAGGAACAGTGGCCCAGGGAAGGGACTTGTGTGGGGTCACAGGTTAGTCAGGCAGAGAACCTTGAAGCAGGATCCAGATGTCTACCATCTAGCCTGGCACTCTTTCCATGTGGCTTGTTTGACCCTGATGAAACTACCATAGGCTTGTGTGACCCTGTGTTTCCACATTGAATTGATTCATGAATTTGCATAGCACATGGGAAAGAGTGAATGATTGAATGAATGGTACAGAAAAGGGCTATTTATCATTTTAATCAGGTTCAACCAATATTGACTGTGCACTTGCCATGTGCTGGGTTCTGAGAGGTTTGAGGTGCTGCCCAGGTCCCTCCTGGAGAGATGCCCATGGGCCTCAAGGAAAAGCACCCCACATCCACAGAGATCTGAGGAGGTGAGAGCAACAGCCACGCTCTCTGGAAGGCAGCATTGACATCCAACTCCCAGTTGCAGGTCATTTGCCTGGATCAGCTACGGGGTATCTCCATGAATAGGAAATAACAGCAGAGAACCTTCAAGTCCCAGCCACCCCTGTCCCCTGCCCAGCTCACACACAGAAATACTGGGGTCCATCCCTGGACAAGAGCTGAGCTAGTCCTTACCCTAGAGACTCCCAGGGATTCTAAGAAACATCTGATTCTAAGTAACATCTATGCTACAGGTCTCCAGTGTGGCATGAAGGTGACTTAGGAGCTCAAGAGAAAAAAAAACAAGGTCATTTAAGTATTTACTTATTATCTTATATAAAAAAATTTAAAAATTAACATACAGGTTGATAGTCATAACAACATTTTATTATTGGATTTAGTCAATTTATTCAACATTACTGTGTTCAGTGTTCAAAGTGCTTTTCATATATTCACTCACTAAATTTAATATTTAAATATTATCTCCAATAGGTATAGTTATTGCCCTCACTTGACATGCAGAGGGTTAAATAGATTGCCCAGGTAACACGGCTAGTATGGGATGGAATTGGGCTATGGCCCAGGCATGTGGCTTGCCAATATCACCTCTATGGAAGATGTATTTAACTTGGGGACAGATAAACCTATATTGGAGGTATTAATTCAGTTCTTTTCTGTTACACATTCATGATCTAAATGGCTCAGAGACTCTTTCTCTCAGACCCCACCTTGTGGGGCTCGCCAGGGAAGCTACTGCATAGATGTGTCTTTATCTAAAGACCTGGCCATCTCCAGGTCCTCCATATCTGTTCTGTTTCAGCATTCTTTGCAATATGAGTCACCTTAAAACAAAAGGTATTTCTAAGGCCTTGGTTTCCTTTGATCATACATCTTACTTGCTCTGGTAATAATTAGAATTTTAATGAGAAGGGGGGGGGGAGAGGGGGAATCCAGAGAGCATACAGTGCATTTAAATGTTCAGCCTGACAAAAAACTGAATTCATAAATGAAAAGCGAGGTGGGAGGAGGGGAGAGGAGGAATCAGTTTTTTTCTCAGTGTGGTTGCTATTTCTATTGTTTCTCCACGTGACCCCCAGCTGTTGTTCCCTTGGAGCTGTGATTAAGGAAGGCAGAGGTTAGGGGTTACTGAGATGCAGCCCCCAGCACTAAATACTGGTTATACAAGACCAGGAGGCCCATCCCAGGACTGGACAATCTTGCTCCAGTACTAGGAGAGCCTGGCTTGAACATCGCACAGGCGGGCAATGTGAAGAGAATTCAGTCCTGAACACTAAGAGGTGCATCCACACAGGGGACCAAGGTGTGACCAAGACATCAAAACCAGACTCAGACCAGGGCAAGGAGATGACTATGGAAGATTTAGCCCCTTAAAATCAATACATGTGTCCTTGAGTTCAGCCAGCCTTCATCTGCTGGTCTGTTAGTCAGTTTTCCGTCACTGTAACAAACACCTGAGCTAAGCAACTTATAAAGATAAAAGGTTTGTTTGGCTGAGTTTTAAAGGTTCTAGTCCTTGATCTGCTGGTGCCATTGTTTTGGGCCCACGGCAGCATATCATAGCATGTGGTAGAACAAAACCACCTGCTTCATGGCCAGGAAATGAAAGAGAGCAAGAAGGGGCTTGGGTCCTGTTATCACCTTCAAGGGCATGCCCCCTATGACCTAAAGGCCTCCTACCAGGACCCACCTCTTAAAGGTTTCACCACCTTCCAATAACACTAGACTAGGAAACAACCTTTCAATGCATGGGCCCTTGGGGGATATTCCAGAGCCAAACTATCACACCTAGGTCAAGGTGTACTGAGGCTGGGGAGGGGTGGAAGCTCCTGTAGTGCCCTAAAGGCTGTGCACAGGCCTAAGATGTGTGCCTTTCTACCTTGGGCTTTTTGGGGCCAGCCTATCAGGACATGTTACACAAATAGCCTTCAAAAGCCCTTTCCCACTCTTGTCTTATTTGAACCTTGACCCTGTGAGTAGACAGGACTCTGATGGGCAGCTCTGCTGCCTTTCTGAATCTGATCCACTCTTCCAAAAATCCATTTTGTCATAGGAACAGGAATTCTCACTAACAGATTGTAATTGAAAAGATAAACCAGGAAAAGGAATCAGAAAGAAAGCACCATATCCTACACAGATATGCTCAGAAACACAGGCAAATGCTTTTTAACCCTATACCAGGTACTGGCCTCAGGACAAGAGAGGCAAGCCTCCAGTAGTGGGGAAATGGCTCAGCACCACACTAAAGGACTTGTATTCTTCCTCCGACTTTTCTTATTTCCCCTCCAGCCTAGAGAGGTAAAAGCATTGCCCTGGAATCAGACAGGACTCACTCAGTGTCCATCTCCACTGGTTTCAAACTGTATGACTTTGACAAATTATATAACCGTTCCCCACCCACAGAGTGGGAGAAAATATTTGCCAGCTATACATCAGAAAAGGGACTGATAACCAGAATATACAGGGAACTTAAAAAACTAAATTCTCCCAAAACTAATGAACCAATAAAGAAATGGGCAAGTGACCTAAACAGAACTTTCTCAAAAGAAGAAATTCAAATGGCCAAAAAACACATGAAAAAATGCTCACCATCTCTAGCAATAAAGGAAATGCAAATTAAAACCACGCTAAGATTCCACCTCACCCCTGTTAGAATAGCCATCATCAGCAACACCACCAACAACGGGTGTTGGCGAGGATTCGGGGAAAAAGGAACCCTCTTACACTGTTGGTGGGAATGTAAACTAATACAACCACTCTGGAAAAAGTTTGGAGGCTACTTAAAAAGCTAAACATTGATCTACCATTTGGTCCAGCCATACCACTCTTGGGGATATACCCAAAAGACTGTGACACAGGTTACTCCAGAGGCACCTGCACACCCATGTTTATTGCGGCACTATTCACAATAGCCAAGTATGGAAACAGCCAAGATGCCCCACCACCGACGAATGGATTAAGAAAATGTGGTATCTATACACAATGGAATTGTATGCAGCCATGAAGAAGAACGAAATGTTATCATTCGCTGGTAAATGGATGGAATTGGAGAACATCATTCTGAGTGAGGTTAGCCTGGCCCAAAAGACCAAAAATCGTATGTTCTCCCTCATATGTGGACATTAGATCAAGGGCAAACACAACAATGGGATTGGACTTTGAGCACATGATAAAAGCGAGAGCACACAAGGGAGGAGTGAGGATAGGTAAGACA